GTTTGGTGAAATTCAGCAGTGAAGCTATCAGGTCCTAGGCTTTTCTTTGCTGGAAGTCTTTATTGTGGCTTCCATCTCATTACTTGTTATTGGTCTGTTCAGGTTTTGAATTTCTTCATGGTTTAATCTTGCTAGGTTGCACATATCTAGGAATTACCCATTTCTTCTAGTTTTCCAATTTATTAGCATATAGTTGCTTGTGGTAACCTCTAATGATCCTTTGAATTTCTGCAGCATTGGTTGTAATGTCTCCTTTTTCATCTTTGATTTTGTTTATTTGGGTGTTCTCTATTTTTTTTTTCTAAGTCTGGCTAAATATTTTTCTATTGTGTTTATTTTTTCAAAAACCAACTTTTCATTTTATTGATCTTTCGAACTGTTTTCTTTGTTTCAATTTCATTTATTTCTGCTCTAATCATTATTATTTCTTTTCTTTTACAAATTTTGGCCCATTTGGTCTGTAGTGCAGATTAAGTTCAAAGTTTCTTTGTTGATTTTCTGTCTGGATGATCTGTCCAATGCTGAAAGTGCGGTGTTGAAGTCTTTAGCTATTATTGTATTGGGGTCTAGAGCTCTCTTTAGCTCTAATAATATTTGCTTAATATGTCTGGGTGCTCCAGTGTTGAGTGCATATATACTCACAATTCTTATTATCTCTTCCTGAATTGACCTCTTTATTGTTATAAAGAGACCTCTTTGTCTCTTCTTATGGTTTTTGTCTTGATGTCTACTTTGTCTGATGTAAGTATAACTACTGCTGCTCTTTTTTGGTTTCTATTTGCTTGGAATGTGTTTTTCCATCCCTTTATTTTCAGTCTATGTGTGTCTTTATAGGTGAAGTATGTTTCTTGTAGGCAACAGGTCTTTGGTTGTTGTTGTTTTTTTTTAATCCATTCAGAAACTCTGTGTCTTTTGAATGGAGAGTTTAGTCCATTTACATACAATGTTATTATTAATAAGTAAGAATTTACTCCTGCCATTTGTGTTATTTTCTAGTTGTTTTGTGGTCTTCTCTTACTTTTTTCCTCCCTTCCTGTCTTCCTTTTAATGAAAGGAATTTTCTGGTGATATATTTTAGTATCTTGTTTTTTAGTTTTTGTATATTCATTGTATTTTTTTATTTGAGGTTACTATGAGGCTTGCAAATAATATCTTATAACCCATTATTTTAAACTGATGACAATTTAACTGTGTATTTTCAAATAGCCTATCTTCAAGCTCACTAATTCTTTCTTCTGCTTGATCAGTTCTGTTGTTAAGAAACTCTGATGCATTCTTCAATATATCAATTGCATTTGGTAACCCCAGAATTTTTGCTTGATTCTTTTAAATCATTTCAATCTCTTTATTAAATTTATCAATAGGATTTTGAGTTCCTTCTCTGTGTTATCTTAAATTTCACTGAGTTTCCTCAAAACAGCTATTTCAAATTCTCTGTCTAAAAGTTCACATATCTCTGTCTCTCCAGGATTGGTTTCTGGTGCCTTTTTTAGTTTATTTGGTGACATTTTGTTTTCCTGAATGGTCTTGATGCTTGTGGGTGTTTATCAGTGTCTGAGCACTGAAGAGTTAGGTATTGTAGTATTCACAGTCTGAGTTTGTTTGTACACGTCCTTCTTGGAAAGGCTCTCTAGGTATTTAAAGGTACTTGGGTATTGTGATCTATGTTTTTGGTCACTGCAGTCATATCTGCATTAAGGGGCACCCCAAGCCCAGTAATGCTGTGGCTCTTTCAGACTCATAGGAGTACTGCCTTAGTGGTCTTGGATAAGATCCAGAAGAATTCTCTGGATGCCCAGGCTGAAACTCTCATTCTCTTCCCTTACTTTGTCTCAAATAGGTGGAGTCTCTTTCTGTGCTGAGCTGCCTGGAGCTGGGAGAAGGGTGACAGAAGCACCCCTGTGGCCACCACCACTGGGACTGCATTGGTTTGGACCTGAAACCAGCATAGCTCTGGGTCTCACCCAAGGCCCACTGTAACCACTACCTTACTCCTGCCTATGTTTGCTCAAGGCCCTAGGGCTCTATAGTCAGCTTCAGGTAAAGCCAGCCAGGCTTGCATCCTTTCCTTTAGGGTGGTGAGTTCCTCCTAGTCCTCGGCAGGTTTAGAGATGCCATCTGGGAACAAGGGCCTGGAGTCGGAAACCTTAGGAATCTACCTGGTGCTTTATCTTACTGTGGCTGAGCTGCCACCAAAATCACGAGACAAAGTCCTTCCCACTCTTCCCTCCCCTTTTGACAAGCAGAGGAGTATCTTCCCATGGCCACCACCACAAACCCATGGGGAGTCCTGCTAGGCTACTACAAGTGTTCACTCAAGGCCCAAAAGCTCTTCCGTCAGCTTGTGGTGAATGCTTCCAGGCTTTGGACTCACCTTTCAGAATAGTGGACTCCCTTTTGGCCCAGGGCAGGTCCAAAAATGACACCCAAGAGCCAAGGACTGGAATCAGTGATTTCAAGAGCCTGCTTGGTACTCTACCTCACTGTGGCCAAACTGGTACCTGAACTGCAAGAAAAAGTTCCCTTTACTCTTCCCTCTTCTTTTCTCTAGAAGAAGGAGTATTTCTCCATAGCCACCACAACTGGGAATGTACTGGGTCACATCTGAAGCCATCATGTCTCAGAGTCTCTCTCAAGGCCCATGATGTGTACTACCTCATTATTGCTGCTGATTATTTAGGGCCCAAGGGCTCTTTAGTCAGCAGGTTATGAATCCTGCCAGTACTGGGTTCTTTCCTTCAAGGCAGAAGTTTCCCTTCTGGCCCAGGGAATGTCTAGAAATGTATCTGGGAGCTAGGGCCTGGAATGAGTGCCTCAGGTCCCTGCCCAGTGCCGGATCCTACTGTGGCTGAGCTGGAATCCAAGTTGCAAGACAAAGCCCTCTTTATTCTTTCTTTTCATTAAGCCAAAGGAAGGAGTGTCTTTTGAAGCTGCAAGCTGTGCTACCTGGGGTTGTGGATGGGGAGGCACAAGCACTCCCTTGGCCACCCTGGCTGGTGTCTCACTAGGTCACATGCCCCACAAGTTCACTGGGTCTGAGCCCAGCACAGCACTAGGACTTGCCTAGGAGTTGCAGTCCTTGTGGCCTAGACTGCCTTTCAAATTTATTTATGTCCCCACAGCACTTTAGCCTGTGGTGGCGAGGCTCACTGAAACTCAGTTCAGACCATTGGGATGGACTATTCCCCTTTGGTTAGCGCCGGTGTAAATGCTACCTCCGAGGGTGTCGGCTGAGTTCTGCCTGGTGTTGTTTTCTGTTGTGACTGGGCAGCACTGAGTTCCAACGCAAAGTCCCACAGTCACCGCGCTGTCACTTCCCCAAGCACACAGATTCTGTTTCTGTACCATGCAGCCACTGCTGGGGGATGGGGAGGGATAGTGCCAGTGATTCAAGACTGTCTTTCCTACCCTCTTCAATGCCTCTTTCTGTGATATGAAATTAAAACCAGGTACTGTGATCACTCACCTGATTTTTGGTTCTTACAAAGGTGCTTTTTTTGTGTGTGAATAGTTGATCAATTTGGTGTTCCTATGGGGAGAATGACTAGTGAAGGCTTCTATTCAGCCGTCTCCAATCTTAGATGTATATCTAATACTCTATGAATAAAATGTCATAAAAAAGGACGATCACAAATATGTAAAATTTGGTGTGCAATTGGAAGCTACATATTTCACACATTTTTTACTGTGATATTCATTGATTAAATGAATATCCTTTTTTTACCAGTTCGATTGAGTACTATGTAAAAGGAGCTAAATTAAGCTCTAAAACTTCAGAAATAAATACAAAATTCCAGAAAATAAGTTATCGCAGTTTTTACTTTTATTTATGTTTGATGTGAATGTATGTCTTTTGAGAAGCAGACACCAAGAAAGGATTAAACATGCAAGGATTTTATTGAGTTATAAAATAGGAAGTGGAGAGAGAGCTGGGAAAAGCTGAAAGAGCTGTCAGACTGCATTGCAATCCTGGCCCTGAATGAAGGAGAGAGGGAAGAATGACTGGATGGGAGACATTCTAGACCCCATGTGGTAATAATGAAGGTTCAGCAAGACTCAAGGGGTCCTTGAGGCACAGTTGGCTGTCAGAGGAGTCCTATGTCTCCCCAAAATGGGGCTGTCCCTGCCGTACTCAGCTGCTGGCTGGAAACAGCCCATGGGAAGTGTTGCTTTGGGTCAAACATGGCAATTAATTTAAAAATGAGTGATTGGGCTCTTGCTCAAATGTGTTCCATGTACTTAAGGCTGCAAAATGAATTTTCATGGCTGCCATACACTTTGTTCACTTTTTAATTGAAACGTTACCCAGTGTAATTCATCTTCCTTACTGATACTAAAAATTAAACCTTATTTATGCCTAAATCATAAGATAAAATGTTGATTTTCTGTTTTGTAAAATTAGATTCAGTGAACGTGACTGTGAAATCCCTGAAATATCAAATTCTTCAGTCCAACGTCTAAACATATTTGTGATTTGTGTAGTTGGTAGTTGATTCCAACCTGAAGGCAATAAAATGTGTTTGTAAAACAAGAGCAAAGCTTTAAAATCCTTCACAGGAAAATAACCTGCAAAATACAGGCTACAGAGCAAAACTTTGGTGATATCCTATTACTTTTATTTCTTCTACATTCTGAGTTGGTATCTTTGAATTGGTAACAAAGTTGGTGTCTTTCCATTGTTGAAATCAATGTTATTGTGAATGCAAAACATTTTCAAGCCTCCCTGGTATTTTTTACTTCGTGTATCAGTCTAGTTTGAGGCCATTGAGTTTTATTGACTTCTTGACAGTTTGGTGCTCAATTTTTTTGTTGTTCTTTGCTTGCAAGAATTCTCAAGTCTCAGATGGCTTTGCTAGCTTAAGTATTTGTTTATGTTTTAAATACTTTTGAAATAGAAGTTTTGAAGGATATGTCATTTGGTGGAAAGACCACAGTCTTTGAGGTCAAACAGATTGTATTGTGTTCTCACTTCTACAACTTATTTTTTTTTCTTTTTAAAGATCAGATTTGGAGAAAACAAAAAACCCACAACCCAAAAGGATGGGATTTTACAACTCAAGACATCTCCCAGGTAATAAGTCTACAGATTACAAATCATTTTCGTAGAAGATAATTTTGTACAAATTTTACATGCATTCAGGAGCAGGATATTAATGCCAATTTCTGTTTTAACGGGGGGCAAGGTAGGGGAGAGGGAAAAACATTTTGGATATAACTATTTGGAAGGTGAGTAGAAATGAAGAGGGCAAACCCTAGCTTTTCAGTATCTATAATCAATGTTTTGTTTTGTTTTTCAAGAAAAAAAATTAAAAAAACCTTTCAATCTTTAGTATCTCTTTAAAAGCCCACTTCTTAGCTATTAGTCAATCCACACCAATTATTTAAATTCACTTGGTACACACCTTTGTCCACTGGGTAAATTATATTCATTATGTCCACTGCTGCAGCATGCATAAACCAACATCTCTACATGGCCTAATCTAGGACTGATGGGAGAAGTGCTTGCAAACCAAGATCAAGGTGTCATTTCTCTGCTATTACTGTCTACCAAGCTGATCCCTACAAAAATGCACATAAAATCAGGCAGATTTAGCTACTGTGTTGCAAGATAAACCAGGACCTTGTTAAATAGTTCTCTCCATTGCCATTTATTCTCTCAAGGGAAACTTAAAAGAAAAGAAAAAAAGAAAAAGGAAAAAAAACAACACATTAGTCTGGCCACCTCATAAATCCAACAAGCATTGGTGTGGCATTTCAGTAGAAAAGGAAACTTGTTGGGGGGAAAAAACCCATCAAGGTTGTAAGAAAGGCTCCCAATTTAACCGTCTCTGTCCTTATTTATCCACCTTAATTCACCACCCAAGACCATCCATTATTCTAGAGCACCCTGATCTATAAAAGGGGTGAAAGGATCAGGAGAAGGCAAGGAATGAGAACCAAAAGACATCAAGGAACTGATTTGCTTGAGAAAAGCAGTGATTCTTCCTTTTCCAGTTCTCCATGGCTGAGAGAGACAATGCCCAAGAGATTATCCATGTGACTTAGAGACTGCTTATTTATTGCATTACTTTAGACAAGCTGACAAATCTTTCTGAACTTGCTTCCTCCTCTGCAGTTTAGGGACAGCAATTTCTACTTTGTAGGTTGCTGTGTGACAGAGGTGAGGCAGCATACACAAGTTAATCCTGAGGCTCCCCATCCAGACTGTTGTGTTACCCAGTGTTTTGCCTTCCTCTCACTTGGGGTCACTAGAAACATGCAGATCCCAAGCTTGGCCAGAAGAATTGCCCAGGTGCCAAGAACAGTCCCTTAGCAGCTTGCTGCACAATGCCTGAGCTGAGAGGGCCATAGCCTATTGGCCTCCTGGGGTCTTGCTGTGCTCTTGTAATCCTTCCTTCAGCCCATGTGTCAAATGCTACTCCATGCTCTTGTTTCCACAGTGATCCTATAATTATAGTGGTGGGAGGGAATATAGTCCAGAAAGGACCAGGAGGGTGAGAAGCAAGGCCCTCAATGGCCCCATTCACCTGGACCTTTAGCAGTCACTGGTCTACTGTCAGTGGGTTCTAGCCATCAGGGGTCTACCATGAGGCAAGACCCCTCTTCTTGTCCTACTGCCAATTCATCTTCTCCTGTAAGTGCTCCCTCAGTCAAGGCTCTCATATCCATCAGATTCTGCTCTTACAATCTTGCCCACTCCACTCTATTAACCATGCATTCTGAAATTTCCACTTCCCCCATTCCCTCAATTACATACCCTCAGAGGCAGAGGGTCCCAACAGTGCTGGGCACATGCAGCTTAGAAGCTGAGTAAATGCCCCTTCGCCTGTCCCTTTGTGTCCCAGAAGCTAGGTGGTCTGTGTAGTTGGAGTGCCATGTCAGCTCTGTGGTGTTCATCATACTGCCCCGTGTGAGATTCTCCTGCAAGTTGGTCTCTGAGAGACTAGCTGAGTTGGATATTTCTTCAAGACTCTAAAAAATAGGACATTTACTGAAATAATTTTTTAATCCTTTTTACTGAATATGTAGAGGTGCAGTATTTGTTTGTGTGCTTAGTCCTCAATCTGTTTGCATTTTCATGAATAAAGTTGTAGAAAGAAATACATAGCTGAGCCATGCAATGCTTCCGGGTTGTGGGAATTATGCATTCTTTAGACCATGGGGAATCTGAAGGGAGAGGCATTTGTTACTTGTGTGCTGCTGGTTTGGCTCCCTCAGTGTCTTGTATCTAACAGGACACAGTTTCAGTTGCAACAAGGGGCCCTGGTGGGTAGACGGGCTCTCAAAGGGCTGTTAACATATCCAAGTACATGATGACCTGAACAACCCAAAGGTTATTTCTGATGTAAGTGTCCAGGGATGGAGATTGTGTGTTGAGAGCTAGGGCCAGGATGACGGTGAGGTGAGTAGGCACCTGGCTTGGGTGCAAAATTTGTAAAGAATATTTTAATGCAATATTTTTTTAAAACTCAAATGAAAAAAATTCATGTTGGACAAAATATAAAAATTCTAAATAAAGAGAGGATCAGTAATGGTGCTATGTTGAGCCATATTTGAGCCTGTAGTGAAAGGAAAAATCAGTTATACCTATCCAGTTTTCACTTAAAAATTTTATATTTGATTCATCATGAATTTTTTGCATTCATTTGATTTTCCAGATCACATTAAAATATTATTTTTCATGAAAACAAAAAAATAAAATTAAAATTAAAAAACCAAAAAAAAGAAAATATAAGAACGAAAATATATGATAATAATATTAAATTATTAGTTCTGACCCTTCTGAGAGCCATTGGATTTAAAAAGCATTCCTTTTGCTTCCTTTAAATCTTTCATTTTGTTTTCTTTAATCTTCTCCTGACTGGTAAAAGGCGATTACGGCCCAAGGGCCACAAAACTTCTATATATCAGAAACCATATTGACAATATTTAATATTAATTTGCATGTGATTTATTTTTGGTTTTGTAAATCAATCTTTTTCTGTACCAGAAATCCTTCAGGGGAAAGTCGAATACTACTAGAGTAGATTAATAATGAAAACAATAAATGATTTTTAAAAATAGAGTTTTAAGTACTCTAAACCTTCTGGGTATTTTTAAATAATGGCCTTATTTTTCACTTCAACACATTTTCCAAGTGGAGTGGTACGCACCTTGTCTATGAGATTATCACCTGGCATATTTCAGACTCCCACCATTGGAAGCCATCATAAGTCTGTAACCTGTGGGGGTGCGGCAGCTGTTAGGAAGAGCGATCTTCACCCCACACCTCATATCATAAGGAGGGTGTGATATGTTGGGAAGTGCACAGGATTCATGAGCAGAAGACATCAATTCTTCCCTCATTTATAACTCATTACCTGGCTGGGCTTCAACTTCTCTAAGCTTGATTAGCCCATCCTTGCAATGGGAATAACAACAGCTTTTTTTCCAGGGTTGTTGGAAGGGAAAAAAGAGGAATTATAGGAGAAAGAGCTTTGCAAACTGCCAAAACGCTCTCCAAATTAAGCAAGCTCTGTCTTGATCAATGCCCACCCACAGGGATGGCTCCTCTTGGCTGGAAACTAAAGCTGACTTCTCTGCTAGAGAGATTATCTGTCATCTAGGTTGCATTATCAGCTGTAGTATGCTATTCTAAAACACACTAAACCTATAAAGGAAATGAAAGGAAATCCTGAGAGGTCTTCATGGAAAAGTTCTTGCTTATAAAGTGCAAAGTAATCATAGAGTGTGACCTCCAACAAAGCTTCCTGAGAAAGGTATAATGACTTCAAATGAACTCTAGTTAATTCTACAAAACTTTCCTTAATTGGCAGTGTGAAAAAGTGAACAAAGAAGTGGATTATGCCCCATGAAGAAGATAATTGCTTCTTCAGGAAATGCAAAGGTTGTACCAATTCCTGGAACTAAGCCAATGCATCTTCAACTAATTGGACTTGCAGTTGGTCATCTCAACTTTAAGTGTCCTAGCTTTTGCAGACTGAAATAATCCCTTAATATGTCTAACTGAAGCACAAAAAAGATAAAATTATCCTTTAAGATTTTCATCTGTCATAGTCTGGGCATGGTGGCTCACTCCTGTAATCCCAATACTTCGGGAGGCCAAGGCAGAAAGATCACTTGAGGCCAGGAGTTTGAGACCAGCCTGGGCAACATAGAAAGACCCTGTCTCTACATAAATAATTTGTTTTTTATAGACATATTTTTATCTGTCATATATATAGACATCATTTTTGAAGAGTGATTATTTTTCAAAACAAACAAAAACAGCCGAATTCAGAGACTGCCAGTTTCATTGATTTCACAGCCCTTACCTGGTCAGTGAGCAGGTGGTATAAGAAGATCTGGTCTTTGGTTAAGCTGATGGCAATGCTGTGTGGCAAGGGAAAAATATTCATTCTTCACTGACTGCACCATAGGATGTGCTATGTTTGAATCTGAAGCTAGAAGTGGATCAACTCCTATCTGACAGTGCTGTGGATTGGCATTAGTTTGATCTTTGGAAAACCTTGAAGCTTTTGAGGAACTCTCTAAGGAATATACCACTACCGCTAAGGAGAAAATAGCCAAGGGATGTATTTCTACTATGCACTTAACCCAGATCCCAGAAATGCAGTTCTCTGAAGTGAAAGATTTACTTGGTCTTACGTAGTAGTCAGGTCTCCTAAAATACTTGCTGATAGTAAACTAAGATATCTTGGTGGGATGAGGCTATTTTTCAGCAAACACCAATGGCATTTGGCATCCCACCAAATAATCTGACAACATTTAAGAACTTGAGTTTTGTGTAGAACTTATTAAAGGAAAGTAACAAACATCTGTTATTTATTTAAATGATTTTTATTTTACTGTTATTTAAAATACATCAAACACGGTGATACACGAAGTAGAATCATCATGCTTGCATGCTGCGTTGCCTGGGCAATGAGCAAACAGGGACCAGGGATCCTCCTTTCCCTTGGGACCAGCAGCTTCCTTCCCCTGATGGCAGGGCCTGAGCTGTCCTTTCCAGACCACCCCTGAAAATAGCTGACATCCATATACCAGCTGCTGGCACCCTGCTGGGGTTATCTCCCCATTGACAAGACAACATTTGCATACTTGTTCTGTAAGGAGGAACTTCCGCATGGGAAAGGGCCCCTGCACTGGGACACAAGCTCCATCGTGTGTCCATCATGTTCTGGCTGGCCCTGGGCTTCCTGTCTATGGAGTGACGGGAACATGGGTGATCTCATTGCCTTTTCTTGTCTTAATCCAACCTTGTTACTTTTTTTTTCTTCTCAGTAATGCCTATTCCTTATGACTTTCCTTGTAGAATTTGTCCCAAATTCTGGTAAATAACAGATAGAGACCTGTTAGGACTCAGTTTTTATGACAAACATGAAACTAGGTATAAATGCTCTTATAAGCATGGCTCTTAACCACAAAACTAAAACAAAACTTAAATATAAGTATAAAAAAATCACATTAATGACCCTAATGTAATATAATAATTGATGTTATTTTGGTGAAACTCAATCATTCAATTTGGGCTTAATGAAATAAAGAGCCTTAGTTTCAACTCTTTATTTAATCCATTTCTATATTTTAACTTGAAAGAAATTTTTAGAGAATGCCTATTTGGATAAGTTTGATGGGCAAAGTGATATGAATAACTACAAGGCTTTTTCAGTTCAGGATAAACAGACTTCATATTTAACCCAAATTCTGCTGGCAAGCAATCATTGAATGCCTTTTTTGAAGAGGCGTCATGTAGTAACTTGTAAGGCTGACTGGTTCATCTGAAAATAAGATTGGCAATGTGATATTATTGAATCTGTAATAAATGGGTATTTAATCCAATTATTTCTGGAATTGAAAAGATAAAAAAATCTTCATTGTAATTCCGATAGTTGCTGCTTTTGAATTTTTGCAAGTGACTACGGAGCAGGAGGGGCTGGCTGGATACGGTGCCATGTGCCTGCCTGAAATGGAAACCTGGCTCGATTGTTGTCTGGTGCAGACCTTTGAGTTTTATAAACCTTGGCTCCATGCACTGTGTGAGAACCACATGGCCCACAACTGTTATCTATTTAAAGCATGATGAAAGTTTCCTTTAAGCAGTGAGCTATGCATGATTCATTCTATTCTGCATTTTATTCAGTCACTCACTCACTTGCTCACTCATTCAAGCACGTCCCATGTGCCAAGCAGGCTCTAGGCAATTACATACACTGGTGGACAAAATGGAAAACCTCCTTGTCTTCATGAAACTCCTATTCCAGCAGGAGGAGACAGAAAACAAAAGTTATTTTAATAAGTAAATTGTATAGTGTGTTTAAAAACAATTTTTTTTTTTTTTTTGAGACGGAGTCTCGCTCTGTTGCCCAAACTGGAGTGCAGTGGCTGGATCTCAGCTCACTGCAAGCTCTGCCTTTCGGGTTCACGCCATTCTCCTGCCTCAGCCTCCTGAGTAGCTGGGACTACAGGTGCCCGCCACCTCGCCCGGCTAGTTTTTTGTATTTTTCAGTAGAGACGGGGTTTCACCGTGTTAGCCAGGATGGTCTTGATCTCCTGACCTTGTGATCCGCCCGTCTCGGCCTCCCAAAGTGCTGGGACTACAGGCTTGAGTCACCGTGCCCAGCCACAGTTTTTTTTTTTTTTAAAGAAAAAAAGAGTAGGACAGGGCTTTAGGGACTGCTGGGGCTGGAGTGGAGCAGGTTGCAATTTGAAACAGGGGTCAGTATAGGCTTCATTGGAAAAGTGTGATGAGGGAAAACATTTGCGAAAGGTGAGGGTGTGAGCCAAGGGGCTGTGTAGGAGAAGTGAGCAGTTCAGGCCGAAGGACCAGGTAGGGCAGATTCTTGAGGTGGGGATATACCTGATGTGTTCAGGAAAGAGCTGAAAAGTCAATGTGGCTGTATGTCAGTGAGCTGGGAGTGGAGGAGTAAGAGAGAAGGTTGAAGAAGTAAAGGTTATCTTAGTCTGTTTTCTGTTGCTTATAACAGAATACCTAAAACTAGGTAATTTATAAAGGAAAGGAACTTATTTCTTATAGTTCTGGAGGCTGGGACCAGCTTCAAGGTTGAGGCAGCATCTGGTGAGGGCCTTCTTGCTGTGGGCGACTCTCTGCAGAGTCCCAGGGTTGCTCCAGGCAACACATGGTGAGGGAGCTGAGCGTGCTAGCTCAGATCTCTCTTTGTCTTCTTATAAAGCTGCCAGCCCCACTCTTGTGGTAACACATTAATCCATTAATCCATGAAAGCCCTCATGACCCAATCATCTCTTAAAGGCCCCACCTCCCAATACTGCCACATTGGAGATAAGTTTCTACATGAGTTTCAGAAGGGACAAACATTCAAAGCATAGCAGCAGGGAAGAATGTGAAAACTCCAGGAAATCATGGTAAGCACTTTGGCTTTTTCTTTGAGTGAAATCGGGAGCCATTTCAGTGCTTGGAGCAGAGTCATTGCATGATCTCACTCACAGTTTAGAAGTGTCACTCAGGTGGCTGGGCTCAGTGGCTCACGCCTGTAATCCTAGCACTTTGGGAAGCCGAGTCAGGTGGATCACCTGAGGTCAGGAGTTGGAGACCGGCCTGGCCAACATGGCGAAACCCCATCTCTACTAAAAATACAAAAATTAGCCAGGCGTCGTGGCAGGCGCCTATAATCCCAGCTACTCGGGAGGCTGAGGCAGGAGAATTGCTTGAACCCGGGGGGTGGAGGTTGCAGTGAGCCAAGATCATGCCACTTCACTCCAGCCTGGGTGAAAGAGTGAAACTCCGTCTCGGAAAAAAAAAAAATAAAATAAAGAAGTGTCACCCAGGAAGGATGGAGCTGCCTTCACCAGAGGTGGGGAAGCTGGGGATAGAGCAGGTTCCAAAGTGGAAAGAAATAACAAGCTCAGTTCTGACTCAATTAACTTTGGCACCTCTGGTAGGCATCCAAGTGGGGTATAAGTTGGGTTCTAGCATCTGAAGTTTGGGAGAGAGGTCTGAGCTGGAGATTTACAGTTAAGAGTCAGGGAGTAGATGGATGGCATTGAAGCCAAGGCACTGAATGAAGAAGATGCAAGGGAGTGAATGTGGCTGGAGAAACAAAGAGGTTCAAGGAGTTAGACCTGGGGCCTCCATAACACAGAGGACACCAAAATCCTACAGGAGGTCTCCAGATAGAGTTTTCATCCAGATGCTGCAGTCTACACTAAAGTTACATTGTTTCCAAGTTATCATTACAGTGAAAGCATAATTTATAGGTTATGTGGAGAACTCACAGACCTTGGTGATGCATCTGGAACCCTCCTTTGAGAAATTTTGCTTCACAGACCTCAATCATAGGCAAGATAGTTCTTCAAGTTGAGACAGAATGATATGATTCTAAAATCATGTTCATCACTGTCTTGCTCCACAGGGGAGATTTTCACATTTACACCCTTGTTCTACTTTATCAATGTATTAGAAATTATACCCAAAATATTCTTCACCACAGAAAAGGTAGAAAATTTAGAAGTGAGAGTTTAAAAAGTAAAGTTTTAATGGTTTCATTTCACCCCCAACTGGGATATATCCATATCCCACTTGCCCTTGGAGACTGTTTTCCTTAACTTGTCCTTGGAGACTGTTTTCCTTAGGCAGATGTACATTGAAGTTCACTTCCCTGGGCTTGGACGAAGTCTTCCTAGGGCAATCAGTTTTCGGGCCGTCAAGGTTCATAAGTACTCTTTTCTCACTTGGAACCACATGGGAGCTCATCTGCCACATTAATGCTTTCTCAAATTTCCTACCAGGACTTCCTTTCATGCACCTTACAAAAGATTTACCCAACTGAAATCCAATTCCGGTACAGTGACTCAAGTTGCAAAAGTGTTTGGGGCTGTAAGCAAAAGAACAATTGTCAATATCACTCAGGAAAGTCACCTTCAGCAAAGACCTCATAGAATTCCTCCCCCAATCTATTTTAGTAACAGCTTCATTTCCAATAAAATTTTCTTTTTATGGTTAAAAATAATTTATCAAAATGTATTATATGTTTAAGGTGTTTTGGTTTATAATAATTAAACTAAAATGAAAATTTAAAGTTTAGAGAATTTTAATCAAAAAATAAAAAATAAATTTTAATTTATGGACATGTTTTTTTTCAAAGAAATTTGACAGCATAAAGAATAAAAGTTGCACTAGGACAACTTGATGGAGGAAGTGTGATGGAAATGTGATTTAAGTCAGAAGTGAATGATGTACATTTTCTCCCTGTTAAATAACAAATGTTCATGTATTTAAAAAATGGATATTGCATATCAAATTGCAATAGTATTTATATTCCATTTTCAGAACACATTTTATATTTATCAGAGCAATGTAACAGTTTTATTTGAAAATGTTAACATTTACAATATGCCAGAAATCACATATTTTGCCTCTATTTAAGATGAAAAGTTTTAGATATCATCTTTAAAATATAGAAGGAAATACTCATTTTCCAAACTCCATTCAATGAGCAACACAGGTTTCAAATTCCACAGTGACTTAAACTACACAAAAGACAATCTCAGCAAGATCTGTATCAAAAGATCTCAACAGCAATGGAAAACTTCATTTTTCAGAAGCAGACCAATCAATTTTGAGCTAGCAATTTCTTTCTTTTGTAAGATTCATTCCTACTGTGCTGACCCCAAAACTTTATCTTCCTTCTTGACCATAGATTACACCAGGACATATCGATCATGTTAAGCTGTCAACACCCACAATGATATGCCCCAGACACATTTCTTACAGTGAGCAGAGGGTTCTGTGTGTTGGATATAGGTCAATCACTGAAGGTAGCAGTAATTCAGTGGCTCTCTGCACTTCACCTTCATAAGGCCACTGCACTCACGTACTAGGTGGTGTCCCAGTGGAGGACAGTTGCGTACAAAGTCTCTTCCATCTTGACATCTTGCTACTGCAGCGGCCTCCTGTTCCATTTCTCACTTCTCCCGCCCTTAGTTTTCTAGCTCTGGGGAACATGGCTGCCTCAGCAACCATCTTATCTGCTCCCTCTACTTCACCGTTTTGCAAGAAGGAAGAGGCATTTGTTTCTTTCTCACACTCCACTACCTCCTCCCCTTTCCTTTACCATTTTTTCATTTCCTCTTCTTCCAGTCGCCCTTATGATCTTCTTCCTCTCTTTCTGGCCAGCCTCTGACTTCTGCAGAGTGGTTCCCTCCACCCAGACAAAACCCTGGACTGATGCCAGGCACAGGGTATGTGACCTATGCTTCCATCTCCTCTTCTGTCCCTGGCACTGTGACCGTAGGCATTCACCTCCATCAGGTGCCACTGATAAAGGAGAAGGAGAGGACACAGTTCATAGAAAAGGAAGCTCTGGCCAAACTGGAAGCCACCAACCCAGGGTGTGGCTCCTAGGGTATTGCCGTCTTTCAGGAGCTTCCCAAGGCTTATCCTGTAACGCCTCCACTCTTCTTAGCATCTCTCTTCTTACTCTTTATTGTTTTTCTTTTTATTGTGACAAAATATACATAACCATAAAATTCATTATTTTAATAATTTTTAAGTGTACAGTTCAGTGGCTTCAATTACATTTATATGTTGTACAAACAGCACTATCAATTTCCAGAACTTTCTCATCATCCCAAATGGAAATTCTTTACCCATTAAACATTATTTCCTTTTCCTTTCTCACTCCAGTCCTTGGCAACTGCATTCTACTTTCTGTCTCTATGAACTTGACAATTCTTGGTACCTCATATAAATACAAATAAAAATACAGCATTTGTCCTTTTGTGACTGGCTTGTTTCACTTGACATAATGTCTTCAAGGTTCATCCATATTGTAGCATGTGACAAAATTGCCTTCCTTTTTAAAGCTGAATGATATTCCATTGTGTATATATCCACACTTTGTGTATATATTTATCCCTGCCTGGGCACATGGGTTTCTTCCTACTCTCAGCTATTATGAATAATACTGCTAGGAACATGAGTTTATAAATATATGTTCAAGTCCCTTCTTTTACTTCTTTTCGGTATAAACCCAGAAGTGAAATTGGTGGATCATATAGTAATTCTGTATTTAATTTTTTGAGGAACCACCATACTGTTTTTTATAGTGTCTACACCATTTTACATTTCTACCAGGAATGCACAAAAGTTCCAATTTCTTTACTTTCTCACTGATCTAGTTTGAATACATGAGCCCACCATATCTCATGTGGAATTGTAATCCTCAATGATAGAGGTGGGGCCTGGTGGGAGGTGACTGGGCCATGGGGGCAGATCCCTCATGGCTTGGTGCTGTCATCAAGATACTGAGTGAGTTCTCACAAGATCTGGATATTTAAGTATGTGGCACTTCCCCTCTACTCTCTCTCTCTTGCTCCCTCTCCCACTATGTGAGATGCCTGCTCCCCCTTTGCCTTCTTTCATGATTGTGAACTCCTTGAGGCTTCCTAGAGGCAGAAGAGGAGGTATGCTTCCTGTACAGCCTGTAGAAGCACTAGCCAATTAAACCTCTTTTCTTTATAAATTACCCAGCCTCAAGTATTTCTTTATAGCAATGCAAGAATGGACTACCACACTCACCAACACTTGTTATTGGTTTAATTATTGATTTTTATAGTAGCCATCCTAATGGGTGAGAAGGGATATCTTCTTGTGGTTTTGCTTTGCATTTTGCTAATGACTAGCGACACTAAACACACTTTCATGTATTGGCCATTTGTGTATCTTCTTCAGAGAAATACCTATTCAAGTCATTTGGTCATTTTAAATTGGGTTGTTAGTTTTGTCTTTGTTGTTATCGAGTTTATTAATTGTAATTATTTTTTCTCTTAAAAATATAAATGCTCATTTTAGAAAATTAAATTAAGAATTGGGAAAGCATTGAGACAAATAAAAATGATTCATGTTACAAATAAAGAATATATTTTCTCAATTTATGTTAAGTGTTTATAAAATTTATTTAGTTCATATTCTTTGAGTGCAATATGAAGAAGCTAGGATTCATTACTTAGGAATTAAAAGTAGACATTACTAAATAAGTCTTGGATAAAAGAGAAAAATTAAATTTAAAGCAAGTCACAGTTTATAAGACTAGTAGGTAACACACTACTACCCAAACTAATTAAATATGTTCAGAGCTATACTTAAAATAAAATTCCTGACTTTAAATATTCTTATTACAAATCCAAAAAAATTTTAGTTAAGCATTCAATAAAATATAAATTTTTGAAAATACAAATGCATAAAAGAGGCTATAATAGCTGGTAAAGAATTATTTCTGGATGTGTCTGTCAGGGTGGTCTGGAAGAGATTAGCATTTGAATCCATAGACTGAGAGAAGATCACCGCCTCCAATGTAAGCAGGCATCATCCATTCTCTCAAGGGTTCTGAATAGAGCCAAAAAGCAAAGGAAGGGGGAATTTGCTCCCTCTGAACTAGTGCATCTGTCCTCTTTTTTGTTTTGTTTTGTTTTTTTGAGATGGAGTCTTGCTCTGTTGCCCAGGCTGCAGTGCAGTGGCGCGATCTCAGCGCACCGCAACCTCTGCCTCCCAGGTTTAAGCAATTCCCCTGTCTCAGCCTCCCCAGTAGCTGGGACTACATGCGCAAACCACCACACCCAGCTAATTTTTGTATTTTTAGTAGAGGCGGGGTTTCACCATATTGGTCAGTCTGGTCTCAAACTCCTGAGGTCAGGTGATCCACCTGCCTCAGCTTCCCAAAGTGCTGGGATTACAGGCGCTAAGCCACCAGGCCCGGCCCATATCTGTCTTCTGATGTTAGACGTGGGCACTCCTGGTTCTCAGGTCATTGGACTGAATCACACTACTGGCTTTTCATGGTTCACCAGTTGCAGACAGGAAATTGTGCAACTTAGCCTCTATGAGCCAATTTCTACAATACATCAATCTCTTTCTCAAGTATACGTAGATGTAGAGAAAGTGATATATATATGTTCTATACGTATCCTGTTTCTGTGAAGAACCCTAATACAAACATTAATAAATTGTTTTAAAACTCACAAAATAATAAAGAGCAGGTAACCCCCCACCGTGTTTTCAGTTTGCATATTCTAAGGTCATTACTAAGAACATTGGTTTCATTTCTCTGGATGCTGTTCTTTTGTTGGTCCCTTAATTATTCATGACCATTATATCTTCATTTTGGATTATGTATTTTATTTATAAAGTCTCAATTGTTCAAGTGATTTTTTTCTTAATTCTAGTTGGTCTAGTATTAATATTCTTATTTGTTTTATATTTGCATTCATCTGGTGTGTCTTTGTCCACCTCTTCAAAAAATATTTCTGCTTCAATTTGTTTTATATATTTTTTTGAAAATAACTTTTAGCTAGATTTTGTTTTGCTGACCCAATTTACAAATTATTATCTTTTAAAGATGAAATTTGATCAACTTACATTTATCTTAGTTGATGCAGTTGTGTTTCATGCTTTTCTATTGCTTTGTTCTTTACTTATGCTGTTTTTTTGTTTGTTTATTTTAGTGTATTGTATTTTATATTTCTACTGATTTGGAAAATATACATTCTACTGTTAGAGAACATCTTTCATTAAAAGCATGTAAGCCTTTATTTCTCTGTTATAAAAACAATAAAGCCTCAATGCTTCAAATAAGATGAGGAATTCAGCTTGCTTTAAAAAGTTTCTTCTTTTTTCTCTGTCTCCCAGATTATGTTAGCATTATCTCAGATTTTAAAACCAGGATATTACAAGTAGGTTTTTTACTCTGCAATTTCTCTTTCAAAAACCATTTGGACATTTTAAGTATATTTCATAACCACAGAAACAGCAATTATTCACTGGGATACTTTGTTTCATTGGTATCACTATCGTTTACCTCTTTCACCTTCTTCCTGGATATTTTTACTATAACATGGGTAATTCGCTCTTGGAATACTTGCCTATCTCAAAATACGTTTGTCATTTTCTGATGCTATGATGATAAATTGTCCTGGTTTACAAGTCCTGAGCCACATCCTTTCCCCTCTAAACTCTGTGGATCTTATTCCATGATTTTTGGCATGATTATATTGCAGAGAAGCCTGGAGACAAATCCTATAGTTAACCTGGTTTTACTGTCTATGTCTTTTGGGAATTTTCCTTTATCTTTGATAATCTGAAATTTCATCGGGATAAATATAGGTATGTCTTTTCATTTTCTAAGGTAAAAAGACAAAACAAAGCACAACCTGACATACTGAGAGCATCTTTAACCTGAAGTGTCAAGCATTTCTGTGATTTCTTTAATTTTATGCTTGTTCCTCCACTTGCTCTGTTTCTTCACTCTTAATCTTCATCTTCCATGACCTCAACCTTACTGTCTTTATGGATATTCTAGTTTCCATCAAAATCTCTTTTTCCAGCACATTGGAGAAGGTAAAAAGGCTGGGAAGGAAGCCAGGAGAATGGTGAGTGCCATTAGCTGCCTTGCAAATCAACCCTTCCCTGGGGCTGGTGTAGCTTCTTGGCCCCCCAGGGTGCTAAGATGGTGCTCAGTGGCTCCAGTGGAATCTCTCTTCATCACTGGCACACGTGGGCCATCTGCAGACTCCCAGATAGATTTCTCTGTGGCACCTGAGCCCCTGTATCATGGATAAGATCTCCTTTGTGATGAGATTAAGCTGCTGAAATTTGCTTGCTGGAAACAGCCCTCATCGTGGCCCAGCCTTTTTCTTTCTGCAGCCCACGAAGAAGTCTATTCCAGTTTTCTTTCCATCCGGGTTCCAGGGGCTTCTCCTGCCTGCATGTTCTTTTCCACCAATGGCTTCTGCCATTCTAGCTTTCACTTTCTCCTGGAGGTGTTGGCCAGAACATTTCACTTGGAAGGTTTTGGTATGGACATTTCCCTCCTTACTTCCCACAGAACATCCCAGTGAAATATTAATATTTGCAGTTTCTTGACCAGAGATTCCTACAACGGTGATAGGAAGATTGGCAGAGGTCATGTTGTTGATTTTAGATTTGTTTGTTGTTGTTGTTTATTTTAATCACTTAGCTAAGAACTCCAGAAATGACCTTTGGATATAGCCTCCAAAATATTCCAAATAGCTTCAAGAAACATGAATGGTACTCGCATGCATAGCCTGTGCTCAGAAATAGTCCCAGCAGGAAAGAAAATGGGTTACAGAATGAGTTTGCATTCCCTTTGGCTGGGAACCTCAGCACTGGCCCAGGGCTCCTTCATGAAGCAAGAGCCTTTCCCAGGTCCGGGAGTCCTTGATGATTCTTCTTCTTCTTCTTCTTCTTCTTCCTCTTCTTCCTCTTCTTCCTCTTCTTCTTCTCCGGCTTCTCCTCCTCCTCCCTTCTCCCTTCTCTTCTTCTTCTTCTTCTTTTTTTTCTGGAGACCAAGTCTTGCTCTGTCGCCAGGCTGGAGTGCAGTGGTGCTATCTTGGCTCACTGCAACCTCGCCTCCCGGGTTCAAGCGATTGTCCTGCCTCAGCCTCCTGAGTAGCTGGGAACACAGATGTGTGCCACCATGCCCAACTAATTTTTATATTTTTAGTAAAGATGGGATTTCACCATGTTGGCCAGGATGGTCTTGATCTCTTGACCTCATGATCCACCTGTCTCGGGCTCCCAAAGTGCCAGCATTACAGGCATGAGCCACCGTGCCCAGCCAGTTCTCTGTTCTTTTAGACACCTCTGGGATCACACTGTGAGAAGCAAAATCTTAAGAGACTGTCATGTATTCCTTAATTCACATGGGGATGAAAGGGCTGGTGCCCAAGCTCCAGCTCTCAAATCCCGCTTTTGATTCCCCCACCTCATTCTCCACCTCAGCCACACTCTCTTATGAAGGATTTAACAAGTTTGGCCCCAAATCCACGTGGTGAAGTGCTTCTCTTCTGCCCATCTACTGAGCTTTCTGCTGTTGATGGATAATTTCTCTTGGATGTCTTAATTGACCCCTTCTCCTTTTTGTCTGCGTTTTACACATGGGTCTCCAACCATTGCACCAAGAGATGAAGATTCACCTGGGATGACTAAATTCCACTGTAGAATCTAGAAACCCTCTCACAGCTCCTGTCTTTCCAACAGGTATTACAGTTTACAGCTGTGTCCTACCTCCTAGACTTGCAAAACTGGTGTCTGTTTTTGTTTTTTGTGTTTTTTTGGAGATGGAGTCTTGCTCTGTCACCAGGCTGGAGTGCAGTGGCACCATCTTGGCTCACTGCAACCTCCACCTCCCAGGTTTAAGCCACTCCCCTGCCTCAGCCCCTCAGCCTCCCGGGTAGCTAAGACAGCAGGCACGCGCCACCATGCCCAGATAATTTTTTGTATTTTAGTAGAGATGGGGTTTCACCATGTTGGCCAGGATGGTCTCGATCTCCTGACCTTGTGATCCACCCATCTCAGCCTCCCAAAGTGCTGGGATTACAGGCGTGAGCCACCGCGCCCGGCCTGGTATCTGGTTTATATGAACGAAAGGTCTGGCTGGAATAGCAAATGTCTGCAAGGGAGGCTGGCCTAGATATCACCAGGGCCTGGAACACTTCTCACATTCTTTCCTCCAGTAACCTCCAGTTGTCTAAGAGGATTATGACTCTTCTTTCTCTCTTGTCCTCAGAATGTCTCTCTGGCCTCCTCTCCTCCCAGGGACCCAATTTGGAACTGAAACCCTGAGGTGAGATAATTGAGGTGAGATAATTGCAATAATGGAACAATTCTTACCAAGTCACTGTGGTAACTCAGTGACTCCCCCTTTTGTGTTGATGCTACACAAGGCTAAGTTCTGAATCTATAGCTATTTGTGGTACTATTTCTTTAAAAACCTAGATATCAACAAAAGAAACTACATTAATCCAATGTGGCAATCAGGTGCCGTGAACTATCCTAGTACTTTAATTCTAAAAGCTGAACCTTCTTGGCAAAAGAAAATGATAGAATTTCTCTTCCCAAGACATTTCATTTAGCCACCTCTATTTGTCTTCTATTTTCTTCCAAGATTTCCCACTACCAAGCATAGTAGTTTTTCTCTGAACCACTCGCCATAGCCTAAGGTAGTCTAATTAAAGCAATGGATCATTCACGCTGCTTTTCAGTAATCCTACAGTGACTTAATGAACAGAGTGCAGCAATTCAACACATGGATTCTTACTCATTGCATCCTAATTGTATGTAAGTACCACACAATTCTATTGAGACTCACAGACATTTCTTTCTTCTCCTCTTCAATGAAAAAGCAAACATTAATTGAGCCATACCACGATTTGGGAAATAAACATTTCATGTAAATTGAAAAAAATGCTTCTCTACTTGTAATATACACCATTTTTGTTTCTTTGAATTTTCTTAATTTTCTACAATGAGCACGTACTAGTTTTGTGAAGAGAAAAAAATAAAAAAATTTTTTTTAATCTTTAGGTCCGGAGTCTGCCTATTGAAAATAGTATTGTGGTATCTTTATCTTTAGAGATAAATGTCTTTACTTTTGATAGAAAAGATGAGAAGTGTTTCAACAAAAGAAATAGTACATTATGGTTTCAAACCTCAAAGCATGGTGACAACCTGGGGTGTTAATGAAGGAAACCTGAATTCCGAGATCTATTTGCTAAAGGGAGGCTGGAAGTCTTGGAAGAAGATTCTGATTGTGTAATCGAGTTATTAATATCAGAAATGCTTTTCCATAGGCCTTTACTTTGAATTCATTTTTTGAATGAGATAGCTGGTCTTTAAAAACAACTTACTTTTTACTGCTGCAGCACTACACGTGTACGGTAAAAATAATTCAAATGGTAAAAAGAAAGAGGTACTGTGAAAAAAATGAAAAACTCCTGACATCCCAATTATGCAGTCCTCAGAGATAATGATCATTTCTTGTGCCCCTTTTTAGAAATTTTCTCTGGGTGTATACTCCCTCTATGTCTCTATTCCTTTAAATCTATATTCTATTGCTTTATATCTCCATATCTATATATTAATATGTAGGTATTACAGTTGCTATACACTTACACCATTAAAACAGTTATTTGACTTTTTATATTTCACATTCTGGGGCTTCCAGCTGGTACCGTGACTCCAAGCATCCCTCTGCTGGGACATGAGAGAGAAGGCATCAGTCAGGATGACAGAACTTGACTGATACATGTGCCCGAGCCACACTAGTGATCTTTGAGTGCAGGCTGGAGTCCAGGTCATCTGGCTGGGCCTCCTTATTCATGGCAATCTCTGGGCAGAGATCTTAGGAAATTCTCCTCCCTTCTCAAGACTCAGCCATCTCATTGGTAATATGAAGGATTGGGAATACCCGAGATACAGTCTAATGTTCTCTTGTCTGTGATGTCATAACTGTGGCACTTGGGGACACTTCCAAACGACCAATATTCCGCAAAGATCCATATCACGTTCTTCAAGACCCGTGCCTGTCAGAGCTGTCAGACACTGGCTGGGGCCCTGCAAACATGCACGTTTTCTCATAGCTTTGCCTGGTGCTTTGAATTCCTGCCACACTCATTGGGTAGCTGTAGCTCACTGATGTGCATTTAACTGGCAGGGAGTGGGAGACAGAAACAGAGGAATGGGAGAGTGGAGTCTTGTGAGAATCAAATGTATTTACTAAATACTGTCTATACTTCTGCAATTTGCCACACAAGTACGGGGTGAAAATCTGAGGACAGCAAGATGAGTCCTTAGACCATGTGCTCAAAGAGGTCTAAGTTCAGGTGGGGAAAGAGAAACGTACACAGATAAACTGGAACGCAGCACTGACAACGTCAGATGAAAACGGGGAAGCTCTGCAGAGAAGGGGGACCTTGGGCTAAGAAATGGAGGCCAAAGTGGGGTCCACCAGGTTCAGGAGGTAGAAAGCACTCCAGGAAGCAGTGAAGTGGAGTAGCAAGGCACAGGGACATATATGAGGGTGGCATGTTCAGGGGATGACAAGCTATTCTGGATGCCTGGTGTGTAGGGTGCCCATGGGGAAGGACCAGGTGAATGCGTCTAGAAAAGTAGGCAGAGCTCCGACGATACAGGGTTTGGATAATGAGCTAAATAAAAAGTGTAGATTTTTCTCTGAATAGCAGCAACTCCCAACCCTACCACATCCAATAGCCCTTTTTATAACAAGTATTTTGTAATGTCATCTATATATCCTGAAATGAAATTCATATTACCATATATCCTACCTACATACACAGTGAAAAATTAAATGAAAAATGAAAATCACTATAATGGCCTGACATGAAGAACATCAAAGGAAAATATGTATTTCATGTAAATGCTTGAATCTGACTTAAAAAAAAGAGAAAACGTACTGAAGTGGTTGGATGTTTATGACTATACACAGAAGCACCAAGATGTGACAGCTACAAATACAAACAATACAGGGACATGGAACTAGCGAGTCACGGACCTTGTCATTTGACATGATTTTCTGAAATGTTAACTTTGGAGAAATGCTGAACACAAAAAGTACAATCATCTCTTGATTCACTTAGTATTTTCACTTTTAGATCATTGAATATATTAGAAATGATGCAAAAATACTTTGTGTGTCTATGCAAATTGGAATTCATTCTAGGTTTATACAATTATAAAAAGCATTTTCAATTATAGGCATGTTTAATAAAACATTCAGAGTCACATTAAGAGTGGGACAGTTTCTTCTTTGAAAGGATAGTTTTGTGTGCGTCTGGATGACCTAGACATATATGTTTGGTTGCAAAGGTCAGGGACGTGGAAGTGGCTGTGAAGATGAGGCACTGCCACATGGCCATGGGAGTTGCAGCTGCAGGTGTCCAGCAAGGGAATTCCTGAGAAGCCCATAAAAGTGCCCTAGAGAAAGAGTCAGTCTGAAGCCACTGCTGTGGTCAGAGGAAACCAACAACAGATTATGTCAATTGTATCTTGTATCAGAACCAGTCACGTAAGGGTTCTCTTGACTCTTAAGTCTCACCTTTGGCCCTGCTTCAACTCTGGGAAGCCAGAAGCAGCCTAGTGAGTAGGGAAAAAGAAATAGAAAGTTTTGTTGAGGCCTGGCGCGGTGGCTCAAGCCTGTAATCCCAGCACTTTGGGAGGCTGAGGCGGGCGGATCACAAGGTCAGGAGTTTGAGACCAGCCTGGCCAATATGGTGAAACCCCGTCTCTACTAAAAATACAAAAATTAGCCGGGAGTGGTGGCGGACACCTGTAGTCCCAGCTACTCGGGAGGCTGAGGCAGGAGAATCACTTGAACCCAGGAGGCAGAGGTTGTAGTGAGCTGAGATCGGGCCACTGCACTCCAACCTGGGAGACAGAGCGAGACTCCATTTCAAAAAAAAAAAAAAAAGAAATTTTAGTTGAAGCGTTAGAAAAATTCATTGTTCACTTGGGGAAAAAAACCTAAAGTGTTAGACCACTTCATCACACTGTACATAAAATTAACTCCAAGAGGATTAAACATCTACAGCTAAAAAACAAAATTGTAAAGAACCAAGAGAATATATTGTTAAACATCTTTAGAATCATGAGTTAGGTAAGACCTTCTTAGAAGAAGAGAATCAATTCTTTAGAAAAATCTGAAAAAATGAATGGGCAGTTCCCCAGAGAAGAAATACAAACACTCCAAAATCATGAACAGATACTCGACTCAACTTCACCAGTAACTGGGGAAACGCAAATCACATCAAGTATCTATTACCAGAGTGGCAGCATACCGAATTGATAATATTCAGTGTTGTCAAGGAATTTGGTAGTATCTATCAACATTTTAAAAGTGTGTACCATAAATCTGGCTAGTCTATCCGTAGAGATCTATCCTTGGGAATAAGTATACACAAAGTGTGTGCAAAAATTTTTACTATGGCATTGTTTTAATTGTGAAAACATGAAACATTGCATATGTTTATCAATAGGAGTGTGCTTGAATGGATTATGGTGCCTCCATGCTGTAGGGTAATCTGTGCAAGTTAAAGAAAAATGACATGAATTTATACATATTGACATGAGGAAAAACCACTCCATGACACATTCTTAAGTATGGAAAGAAATTTCACACACTATGAATAAATGATCCCATTTATATAAAGAGTAAAAATTATGCACACACACACGCGTGCGCGCGCACACACACACACGTATATATACACACAAAAATACATGAATATGTATGCATCCCCCCATACACACACACAAACACATGCACATAAAATTGAGGAAATTAACTGGGAAATATATACAATGAATAGTTTAAAAAGGTTTACTTCTATGCTAGAAAATAAGATTGGACCATGATGAGGACCTTTACTTTGTGCTCTTTCTGTACATTTATTTTTTAAGTGTTATGTGAGAACATGCTGATATATTTCTGGTGCAGATTTTTACCAAGCGTTTAAAACTTGGCAATCACAGATTTTATGTGGAAGCTATACTGACTTCAGGAACACGACACTCTTGGTTTTACTGTCCTCATTGGCTGCCCCTTCTTTGGGTTGTACAGTGTCCTCCTCATCTCACTGACCTCTAAATATTAGAGTGCCCCAGGGCCCAGTCTTGCAAGCTATGCTTTCTCAGCCAACAGTTATTTCCTACACATTGACAATCAATTCCATGACTTTTTGGCAGGTTAAATTTTAGCTCCAACCTCCAGCTTTGCCGCTTTGCCCTGACTTGCGGAGTCTTATAAACAATTGGGTACTCAATATCTGCAATGAGATATCTGAGAATATCTACACCTTAACTTCTCAAAAACACAACTACTTGTTTAGCATTTTTTCTTCAAACCTGCTCCTCCCACAGTCTTCCCCACTCAGGAAATGGCATCTCCATTCAAGTTGATTGGACAAAAATCCTTAGGGCCATTATTTACTTTACAACTAGACCCAAATAGAGCTGCTTCTCACTGCTCCAATTGCTTTGACTCTAGTCCAAGCCACATCATCTCTCACCTTGACTATTAGAATAGCTTCCAAAAAACCCATCTTTGTGCTTCCATTCCTGCCTAGTCTGCAGTCCATTTTTCACTCCGCAGTCAAGGAATCCTTCTAAAATGTGAATTAGAGCCAGGCTGAGTGGCACATGCCTGTAATCCCAGTGCTTTGGGAGCTGGAGGTGGGAGCATGGCTTGAGGCCAGGAGTTTGAGGCCAGCCCGGACAACATAGTGAGACCACGTCTCTAAAAAAAATTAAAAATAGATAAATAAAAGCTGAATTAGGGCCTGGCACAGTGGCTCATGCCTGTAATCCCAGCACTTTGGGAGGCCGAGGTGGGCAGATCACGAGGTCAGGAGATCGAAACCATCCTGGCTAACATGGTGAAACCCCGTCTCTGCTAAAAATACAAAAAATTAGCCAGGCATGGTGGCACATGCCTGTAATCCCAGCTACTCGGGAGGCTGAGGCAGGAGAATCGCTTGAACCCGGGAGGCAGAGGTTGCAGTGAGCCGAGACTGCACTCCAGCCTGTGTGACACAGCGAAACTCCGTCTCAAAAAAAAAAAAAGCTGAACTAGGTCATGTATTATGCCACTTTTCTACTCAAAACCCTGCAATTACTTTACATTACAATAACAATTTCACATCACACTAACAATTTCAAATCCCTTGTCACAGCTGATCACATCTACCAAGGTCCATTCCCCCCAAGGGAGCTCCCCCATCGACTTCAGCTTCCACCACTCTCCTCTTACTTATTACCTGTGAGTCCACCTGCACTGGCAAACTAGCTGGTCCTCATGTACCCTAGACAGTATGCTGTCTTAGCACACCTGTTCTGCTCTTGGCCTGACGCTTTTTCCCCAGATATTTGCGTGCATCCTTTTCTTGCTTCATTCAAGAGTTTGCTCTAAATTCAACTCCTCAGAGTGCATTTTAACACCCTCATAACTACTAAACTATCCCCCATCCTTCTGTTTGCCTATCCTCCACATAAGGGGCTTTCCTCTTATGTACGGCCATTCTTGATGGCATGGTCAAGATAAAGAGTGGGAGGAAAGAAAGTCACGTGGAAGCTCTAAACCCATGCTGGTGTGGTGGGGCTCGTCAACTCTGAGCTTCACTTTAAGATATTTTGGGTGGGCCACTGGTCGGGCTGCCTTGATGTCAGTATTTTCAGATCTGTTCCTTTGGTCTGAGCACATTCCCCAGAGAGGCATCTTGCCTGTTAGGTTAAGGTCTGACTGCCGGTTTTCTGAGAGCAAAGACAAGACATGAGGCTGGGAGGAGGTGTCTTGGGAGTCGGCATTCTGTATGCCAGCAGTCTACTTAATTTCCCTGATTTTGATAAGATCCAAAGGCTCTCAACTGTACTCCCAGTCCAGAG